TGATTTTGGTTACTGCGCAGTAAATGTGCATGTGTAGATATATCCAGTGAGAGAATAAGGTGCAGAAATCCAGCGTCAAAAGGATGTTTAATCCAGCACTTCAACCATGTGAATTTTCAGGCATTTCCTACACATACAAGGCAACATACAGCAGCTTTGGTGTGGGTGCAGTGATGAAACAGAAATCAATACTTTATTCATGTCATCTTTTTTTTTCTTTTTTTTAATAGGGTAGAAGAGGCAATGGAGTTGTGACAAAGTGCTTTCATAGACCGAGAGAGAAAAAAAATTAAGGAAAGGCTAGACTCTCCTCTCATTTACTCAAGTGCAAGCATAATGACAGATAAGTAATTAATAAAACAGATGGAGAAGTAATAATTATATGTGAAGCCTTTTCATTTGTGAGAAATAATCATGGTTTTCCTGCTAATCTTTTCTTAATCATCCTCCAGTACTTTCCAAAGCAGTAATAGAAAAAAAGGTGGAAAAAGATGGTTTCCAAATTGCTTTTCTATAGAGAAATTTAGGCACTGTGTTATCCAGCATGTCTGTCTTCCTGAAAGTAAACTGAACATTATAAATTCTAGGGGAATAATTACTATGAGTTTTCTGGTATTTCTCCAAAATACTCCAGCCAGTTTACATAATTTATTTACTAAAACAAAGAGAACACTTTATCAAGTTGTTGATTTAGTATTTTTTTTAATTTTTATTATACATATTATGCCTTCAAATGCAATCCCAAACTTTTACCACATAATAAAAAGTGATAATATATTAATTTAATTTGAGTATTTTCCCACCAATTAAGATGTCACTTCTGCTGAAATTTAAAAGAAAGATTCTGAAGACTTGGTATTTATTATAATGGATTCCTTCTCCACTAAACAGGTTTCTGAAGACCTAGCTCTAAACAGAATTAATAAGATTTTTTTTTCATTCATTCATTCATTCTTTATAAATATCATGTGCAGATTTAGAGCTAAATTGTACCCACTGGGAACAGCCAGTACTAAGGGAGAGAAACTATAGCAAAGAACAGACGTGTTTGGCATCACCTAAAAAGAAACGGTTAGTATTGTGCTGAACTGAAGGGAAGACAGAAGTGATTAGCTGTGTTATTCTGAAGTCAGGTAGAAAGGAGGGCAAGATAGGCAAAAATGTTAGTAGGTCATTTCTGAATCATACATTACATAAAATATCACTAAAAACTTGATTAAGCAGAACTCTTAGTAACTGCCAAATAAGTTGCATAGTCCCTGAGAGGAAGACATAGGCTAAAGGCTCACTATAATACATCACATGCATAGCTCAGGAATTGCTTGGCCCACTGACAACTTGATGCCCTGCCCACCCCTCCCTGCCAAAGAGGCAGGTATATATCGGGCCCCCACCCTGGTGCACACACCACAGGGGTTTAGTTCAGTTTAATTCTCCCTAAATTGAAGTGGTGTTTTTAAAAAATCCACTGTTTCAATTTGGGAGAACTAAACTGAATTAAACTCCCATGGCATGTAGAAGCAGCCCAGAAGGCTGACAGTGATGATCCTAGCCATCTGGTTAGATAGGAATATTTACCTTTTCACTTCGTTCTTCTTTTCTTTGCCATTGTCCATTGAATAAAGTTTCATATCTAGAACATTAACATTTCAATGAAAATGTGTGTTTTTTAAATACCAGGAGTCAGATTATGCAACCTTTACATACATAGAACAGTATCTTAGTCTGTGAGTAAGATGCATTTTAAAACAATGAGGTCACTCACAAAGTAGGTACTATTCAGAATTAGTAAAGGGGCAGATTCTGTTCCATAGAATCTCAACCCAGTTCACATATTAGGAATGGTTATCTGTTCTATTTCCAGGACAGATTCAGCTACATAGAAAGTGTAACAATAATGAACTCAAAAACATAGCTGGAACAAATTTTCTAAGAGTCAACCATAACCAAAGTCATGGTTAATGTGAAAATATAAGAACAACACTTCTGTACCATTTACTGGCCTCAGTAGTACATTTTGGAGTGGGAGTAAGGAACCATTGCCTACCTGTACAGCCTATGTAGGAACTATCCAAAATTGTACCTTTGCTACTGGGAATAAATACCAAAATGCTCTCCCATTCCTTCTTATCAGGTCATGGTTCAGCTCTTCCTTTACCCACTCCACTAGCTGGCAAAACCTGTCTTTTGTAGATGCAACCTCTCCTCTGTAGGTGAAACCCGCCTTGGGTGTTAAATGAATTTTGTATTAATTGATTTTTTTTTTTTTACTTATTGTTAAGAGGGAAGATGTAATTATAGAAATTATGAATTAATGATGCTTCCTAATAGGAGACTGAGGGATTGAGAATTGGGAGATAGTCCTTCAGGCAGCAGACAGCTAGTTAGGTAGTGGCTGTTAATCAGTTGGGTACTCGGAGAGAAATATAGGGTCTACAGGGCTTGCTTATGACTCCAGAATAAAACCAGTTGTGTAGTTCTTGCCCTTCATATATGTCTGTATTTACTGAACCTGGTGATAACTACACTGTTTATTACACTACTGGCACCAAGTACAACAACAGAAATTCAGGAAAGTATAAGCCAGATCCTCCCTGGCATAAAGAGATGCAGAACTAGTGAGGTTTTATGCTTAAGCTCACTAGCTGGTGATGTGGCCCATTATACCGTTCAAAAGGAGAATGCCTCCAGGTTGCTTCTCCTCAGTTGTATGAAGCTATACTGGGCACGATATGAGACTGCATCTAACTACTGAAATGTATCCTTATATACCCCAGAATTTAAAATCTTGTCTTGAAGCCTGATTTCAGGCTTTTACTTTAGTAAGAAATATGTGATATACGTTAATTTTAAAACTAATCTTCACTGTCATTCTATGTGCCTCCTCTGAAGGAGCTTCTGGGGAAATATACATCGTTTTAGACATACAGCTTTGGCTTGTTTAGGATTGCTCATTGTGTCAATAAAATAATAAAAGCTATTAAAGAAAAATGATAAGCACTATCTCTGCCCCTCCCCCCCAAAATTAATTTATATGGAGTTTAAAGATCTATGACATGGCATAAAGGTTACCAAAGAATACACATAAAAGCAACAAAAGGTGATAAATCAGTATGCCTGGCACAAGCCCTTCTATCAACTACAAACATGAATTCTCTTTGTTAATTATATAGGTTTTCTTGCTAAGTAAATTAATATAATAATCAAATAATAAATCAAAAGTGCACTTTATATCATTCTGAGCTTTGAGAGGGTCAAAGATGATTTTGGTAGTTTAGTTAGTTTTGTTGTACACTAAATCCATTTTTGCTTCAGGAATATTTGTCTTTAGCTGAACATGGTTTAAGTGACTGGATCAACATAGTTGCTCATTTCTATGCAAATCATGATTACACTTTCCTGTGTGTGACCCTTAGTAATATAATTAAAAATATGACTTGTAAGCAAGTCATGCATCCTAAAGAATAAATACTTCAGATTTTGTCCCATCAGCAGTCTCTGTGTTCCTAACTGTCTTTAGCTAAGGAAGGTAAAACAAAAGTAGCAGCCGATCTACATTCAAAAGTGCACCATTAAATAGTACAATATTTTGATAGAGAAAGATTAATCGGTATAAATAATGCATCAAAATAGTTTAAGTATTTTGCACAAAAACATCTTTCCTGTTTACAGGTCTTTCAGATGAATAATACACCAGATATGCTGAGGGATCGAAGAAGAGTGCATACTGCTATCAGCATGTTTAAGAAGCTCAGCGTGACTTGCTCAGAGTGAAAGGAAGCCTACCACCTTCCCCCAAACATTTTACCAAAAGACACATTGGTCTTAATGCTAAATAACCCTTGTGAAAACAAAGAAAAAGATATTTCTTCATAGAGCCTCCAATATATGTCAGTCAAACTAAAGGACAAATGAAGAATACAAATTCCAGGAATTCTTGGCAGGAAACATCTCTGAACTCCCCAACCTTTGATATTAAGAGCCCCAGTATAACCTAAAAATTCTAGTACATACTTCCTACTTATAAACACTTATAACCAAACATACTTCCTATCCAAGAACAGAAGAGTAGCATTTTTACTTAATGAAAAAGATGTCAAAATCTCAATTTTCATGTAGTTGCTCAATGGGAAGAAATGCATGTGACTATTCTGGACAAATTCAAATTATTAAAAAAAATAACTTCCATGGAAAGATCCTAAATTTCATATTCTACATCAAGGAACATATAAAATAATGAAAGAAATGAAATTTTGAAGCAATGGAAGCTTGAAAAACATTGCATGGCAAACAAGATCTTGATCGTTCTGTAAGGGATTAATCCTTCCATTTGCTAAGGAAATGTTGAATACTTCCCTTATACATTTCTCAGGCTCTTAAGGGTTGTTTATATTATTGTAGTATTAAGCCCAAGTTACAAGCCTGGTAAAGTAAAATTCTTAACAAAATGTACACACTTTCTATGAAAAGAAAAGAAACTTTTAAAATCCCAATTTTCCATTTACAAGCATGTTGGGTGGAAATGTTTTGAACATCTTGTTTGGTGCTTTTATCTTCTTTTTATGACATGCATATATATTTTTCAAGTTTCTTTTCTGCTTTGTATGTCTTTGCTTTAGAAATTAGCTCTACTTTTTTTTCCTTTAATGCTCTGGGAATCATCTAATTGGCTGTATATTTAGCTGAAGCATCTGAGGCAGCCCATCTTGGGAATACTGTTACTATTTTATGCAATGCATTTAATAGTTGTGCTCATTGACTTAAGGAGGCGCTTGTCTTGTGTCTGTTTCCTTGCAGATCATTTGGATTTATGTAGTGAGACCAGTTTTGCATCTGAGGCTGCATGGAAACAACTTTTTTTTTTCTTTTTTCAGGCTTAATCTTGCTAGCTTCCCCATTGAATTGTTCTGATTAGCTAGGGAGATAAGGCAAACCAATACCATAATAAACGTGTTATTAAGCTATGTGTGAATAATATAAGGAAGGATTCAGTATCTCACCTGAAATTAGATTGTAGATGATGGTGGTAGTGGAACTGGAATTAAAGAACTGCAAAATAGAGAACAGTGAATGGTCAAAATGGTTTAATTGGTGCTGAGTTACAATAACACACATTTCTAGATAGCCCTTTCTAGTTTCATTTCCAAAGATGACTGCAAAGCCTTATAACTCAAACTTCGCAACAAAACAAGAAACAAATCAACAGCAACAACAAACAAGCAGTTGTGGGTACTCTGCATCTAAAGGTTAAGTATTTTGGGCTACCTATAGAGAGTTCAGAAAGCCAGACATTTCAGTACTCATTTGATGTACCTGACAGGTAGTAGCTAAACATTACTGCAGATTTACTCACTTGAGTGTCTTACCTATTCTTGGTAACATTTGTCTTTGTTTCACATTACTGTGAGCTGCTCTTATGGTGCAAAGGGAGAAGCTATTCAGGCTTTTTTGTTTTGTTTTGTTTTTTGTTTTGTTTGTTTTCTTGCCCTATAAAGAAACACGACACTGTCTTTCTATGTATTTTTATAGTACTCTTAGCTGTAGTACATGACTGAACCTGTGAGAGCTCTAAACTTGTCACTGTTCTAAGGTTTTCAAAGCTTGAAGTTCATTTTAAAGTAGGCATCATCAACCTTTCATATAAGAAAGATTGCCTCATGAACCACATCCCCTTCCGATTCACAATGACATGAAAACTTTGGCCCAGATCTTATTCCATCTCTAGCAAATGCAAGTGTACCAGAGTGTTTTTTAGGAGCCTAATCACTAAACAAGTTCCTATTTAACCCCATTAAACAGCCAGAATTCTGCTGGGGCATCTAGATTGCTTGTTCAACACTATTTGGGAGTGAACAGATCCTGAGGTGTCTGGATGTGGCCTATTGTGTGGTAACTCAGAAGTGATCCAATATGTGATCCTGCAAAAGTAGCCTATACGAGGCATGTCCAGCCCAGCGTGCATGCGTGGTTTGCAGTTCTGCAGACCTGTCTGGGATGCTGCAAACCACATGCACCACATATAAAGGCCTTTGCTGAGCTGCTAATTTGTAGCACAGCTGGGTTTTTTGACACCAGGAGATCTCAGTGTCAAAAAAACCTGAACTAGAAAAAAGCGGCACAGCACACGTGGCTGCAGTGGATGCCACCTGAAATCAGAGCCTGGCCAGCCAGAGCCATGCTGTGGCTGCCAGCCCAGGCTCTGGACATCTGGGTTGCCACTGCTGGAGCCCTGGGATGCCTCCAGTACCCCAGGTTAGGCTGCTAGGGCCAGTCCAGGTGCTTGCCCCAGCCTCCCCTACCCCATCTGGGGCAACTGAATGCATGCCCGAAAGGCATTCTCTGGGGACAACTAGCAGCAGCAGAAATATGTGCTACTGCTAGTTGTCCTCAGGAAATGCACGTTCCCATTCATGGGAACATGACCTTAGAGGCAGAATAAGACCTGGGTCTTGGTCTTCATGGAATGCCAACCAGTGCTGGTAAGATGTTTTACCTCTGAAGCACTATCAATTAAAATGCTTACATTCTATAATGATGGAAATATTATAAAATATAACATTATAAAATACAGGAATATGATAAAACATAAAAATGTGCAACATTTTTCTTTTGAAACCCCAAATGAGGTAAAATTCAGTTTTGTTGTAAAATTGTTGTGGCAGAGTAAAGTTGAAAGTTTTATTAAGGATTTATTAAGTATATTTGGGCTCATTGGGGATTAATAAGGGTTGAGTTATTTTTGTTTTCAAACAATGAATAACATAGCTTTTGTGTGGCTTCACACACAAAAGCAGCAAAAACAGAAGACTGGTAGAGTTTTGTTTTAAACTTTAAACTTCAGTTTTTCAATTGATTTTAAGCACACAAAAAAGGTTAAAAAAACCTGTCAATTGAAACTGCCAAATTTTACATACATCTAGATTAGTGCTCACATAAATTTTCCTGACAGTGAAAATTATTAACACATGTGGCTATTACTTTAGAATAATGTGAAAGGATAATATGAATTTCAACAAAAAGCTATTTTTGTTCCACTGCTGTTTACAAAAGAGCCCTTTACTGGCTAATCAGATAATTACAGCTTTCACTGATGGCAGAGACTAAAGCAGGATCATCTTCAGTAAAAGAATTTTCTGCTTCTTCTTGTATGAGAGTTCCTGGATTTCTAGGATTCATATTTTATATGAGCATAAAATAATAAAAAAGGAACATACATTATTATAATCTAAACCCTAATGATGTGAATTCTCTTGTTCATGAAAGCTTAGGTATCTCTGATTCAGTTAGTCTACAGGCTGCATCTCTACTCTGCCTTCTGCCTGAGGTCTAGAGACACAGAAAGCCACTTGACCTCTGCTACAGGAGTACAGCCATTTTATATGTGTTTTTTCCATCTATTACTGGTTTACATTCTGAATGATAAAATGGCAATGAAGATTCTGAGACCATACACTGGCGACAGCAACTTTACAACACAAATATATCTTTGTTGCAAAGACTACAGTAGATGTAAGAGATTTCTACAAATGTTTTTGCTACTCTAAAATCAAAGTATTCTGAGTTTGCACAACCAAGGAATACAAATCAGCTGTAAGATAGCTTTTTTCTTAGCTAAGGAAATGTGATTAGCACATTATATTTTAAATGTAACCATATGTCATTCTTCAGTCTCTTTTTTTTAACCAAAAGCAGAAGAGAAGTTTTGTAACAATCAAACCTCTAAATTATCTGTTTCTTGTAAGCACCATTCAAATAAAAATATAGTTTTTGTATAGTACACAGAGTAAGATTGTTATGGTAAGGTTACTTACATATAAAATAAGGAAAGGGGAAGCAAAACCATAGTTATTTTTGGCTCAATTTTTTTCCAGAACAAACTGTTCTGGTACAGAAATAAGGAAGAAGAGAAGGCTTAAAAGGCTGTGATTTATGGCCACTTTCTTTCTTATTGAAATATAACTTCAAGGGGAAAAATAGATTCCCACGCCTTTATCACTGTTTTTATTAATACCTGTGTATATTTAAGCAATGTATTACAAAATTATATATGCATATAGTCTGAAACAATTTGCTTCACTTTAAATTGAAATATAAAGTCACTTTAGGAAACAAATAGGCAGTTATACCACATTGTATCAGAATCTGTTCTTTCAAAATATCAGTCTCTAAGAAAAAAATTACAATAAAACTTGATTGATTTTTTCTAAACTGTGACAAATGTGCATTATGAAAAACGAAGAAGTTAGAATTCTGTTTAAATTTAAATATAGTGGAGAACCAACCCATTCAGTGATTTTCAATATCACAGATGCATTCTCAGTTTATCAACAAAGTTTGTTATTTCTTTAATTCACAGAAAATGGAGTATGGGATAGAAGTTCATAATTATGGCATAAAGAACTATCTTCACTACAGCTAAAACTATATAAAACAAATCAGTTACAAAATAATTTTCTATCTTCATGCAACATAGGGTGCTAACAGACATGCAGCTCCCTGCTGTAATTCATGGTGCTTTGCAGAAAGTGCCATAAGTTACAGCATCCTCCCTGCCCCAATACACTTTCACTGTTGGGTCTGAGGGGTTGGGGGATCAATCTCCAGCCTGAAGCAGCTGCATGTCTACAACTACTCTCCCCTGGCACCTCTCCCACACCCCCTCCTGCTCCCAGGTCCAGTGCTGTCTTCAGAAGTTACATCTGGGGTTTGCCCAGCCTGTGCTGGTGGGTGGGGTGGGTAGATTGGAGCCCCCTCGAGGTCGGGGGGACTGTAATCCATATTCCCCAACCTCCAGTGCCAGCTGGGCAAACCCCAGGCTCGACTTTCCCCCATCCCTTCTCCCCTTCCCATTCTGAAGACAGCACCAACCATGGGGTTGGGCTGTATCAGCCCAGTTCAGCCCCTCAGCATGTGGTGACAGATGTTACTGAAGTTGCTCCACTTTGGAGCACCTTTATCTGAACCCACATTTAATGAGGGTTCAGATTGTTGTGCAACTAAACACTTTTAAAGTGCTCCGCAGGTGTGCATTTCTGTCAGGGCATGGCTATAGAGCACTTTCAAGGGGCCAATCACAAGACAATTGTAACTCCTGTCTGTAAGCATAGTTAAAACTATGTTAATGGTACAGGCTGAGGTTTTTATCTCTTTCCATTTTTCCTCTTCCCAGGTATTTATAAGGCCTGGGATTGCTTTAGTATGTCATTTTAATATATATTTGCAAGAAAATTACTGACTAGTATAAATCCACCTCTGTTGCAGAAGACTGTGGAAAATATAAGATGGTATAAAATATCCGTTTAATTTTCAACTCAGAGTCCCTCTTGCATCTGACATTGTTCATGAATACAAGAGTGAAACAAGATACTATTTTACATATATATATATATATGTATACTCTAAACAGTACTGCTCTATATTCAAATACCCACATAAGCTTAGCAGCTGATCAAGCTAGTTTCTACAGCAAAGAGCACACAAGGGAGCAATGTCGTATGCAGCCAACTTTGACTACTTAATCCAAAAGAGCAGGTAGCCATTTACAGCTGGGATGGCAGGGAATGGCCTTTGGAGCCTAGAGAAAGACTCTAATGTGCAATGCTTGAGCAATAGTAACACATTTTAATTGTAGTGCTACTACAGGAGTAAGAATCCTGTTCCTCCCAACTTATATGGGAGAAACTGAGGCACAGAAATACTGTGTCCATTTTTTTTTTTAAGTAACATAAGAGCAGCAATACTGAACATCTGAAATCCACAAGAAGTAGTGCTGCCTAAAGTCAGCAGAAAGAGCAGGAGTTGCCCAAACAATCAATAGGAAATGCAGAGGGCAGAACTTAGGATGCATCACTGTCACTTTCCACATCTTAGGCAAGTTATTCCAGCGCAACTGGAGTCAACTTCCTCTACCTGGGATTCACAGCTTAAAACCCTGCTTACATTCTGACATAGGGTCCTATTTTACCTTTCCTGTTAAACATATTTTTTTTCATTCTTGCAGCTGACAATTGACATTCATTTTGCCAAAAAAGAAAAGAAAAGAGAAGAAA